CCCAAACCCCGCTCACTGCCGCTTCAGCTGGGCCAACGACTTCTTCTCGGCGGCTTGCCGGGAGCGCATGCTCTTCAGGATGCTGGCCTTGAACAGCGCGACACCCCTGCGGGGACGGTGGGAGGGTGAGGGTGGCACCGGTACCCCGGCACCCTTGGGGACCCTCCAGGACCCCAACCCCACCTGGAAGCCTGCAGGGCAGAAGCCTGGAGGTCCAGCATGACGTGCAAGAAGTAGTAACTGAGGAAGATGCGGCGCTGGAGCAGGAGGAAGAAGAAGCAGATGCTGTCCCAGATGATGCCCGCCTCCTCCACGGGCAGCGAGCAGTCCTGGTCCTTGCCCATCTCCTTGGCTGGCAGGCAGAGATGCGGACAGGTCAGGCAGCAGCCCAAACCAGCACCCCCAACCCCACCAGTTCAAGCAGGGCAGCCCCCAGCCCCTCCCCAAAGCCAGCACTCACGGTCGTAGTAGCCCTTGACGGTGCAGACCAGGCTGAAGAGCTGGATCACCCAGCAGAAGTTGCTCTGCATCTGCTGCACGAAGACGCAGGAGAGGAGCTGCGGAGAGAGAGTGCAGAGCGTGAGGTTTGTCTGGGGACAGCCACAACCCCACCAGTTCAAGCAGGGCAGCCCCCAGCCCCTCCCCAAAGCCAGCACTCACGGTCGTAGTAGCCCTTGACGGTGCAGACCAGGCTGAAGAGCTGGATCACCCAGCAGAAGTTGCTCTGCATCTGCTGCACGAAGACGCAGGAGAGGAGCTGCGGAGAGAGAGTGCAGAGCGTGAGGTTTGTCTGGGGACAGCCACAGGGGGACGAGTGCTGCCACCAGTCCCCTTCCCGGGGGATGCCCAAGGGGTGGGTGGCCCCGAGGAGCAGCCCAGGAGCTGTTGCGTGGTCAGGGCTCGACAGCGCTCACCGACAGCATGTTTTTGGAGATGATGACGGTGATGTTGTAGAGGATGAGGCAGTCCCAGAGCACGAGGCGAGCCCGTGCCGGCTTGCGCAGCATGGCGGTGCCGAAGAGGAGGAGGTAGAAGCAGGCCAGCAGGTAGCCGAGGCCGAAGAGGCTGATGCGGGTAGCCCCAGTGATGAAGACCACCACCAGGACGAACCAGAAGAGGTAGCGGAAGACCACCACCTTCACCATGTCCAAGTATGATCTGCAGGATGGGGTGCTCAGAGAAGGGCCCCATGCTTGGCACTGCCCAGTTTTGGGGTGCAGCAAGGTGCTACCCCACACCCCAGCCAAACCAGTATGGTCCCATTCCCTGCATGTGCCCTATCTTGGGGGACAAAGTGCCCTTGTCCCAGTCTGTGGGCTCCCAGTGCCCATGGGGGTCCTGCACCACCATATCTCCTTCCAGCACAGCCTCAGGGTGTTCCTGTCCCAGACCTGAGGATACCATCCTAGTGGCAACGGGGTCTCCTGTTCCAGCCATGGCGGGGGGTGTCCTGTCCCAGCCCAGCATGGTGGGGAGGACTTCTCTGGACTCGGGTCCCAGCACTAGTGGGGTCCCATCTCCATCACAGGGGATCCCAGCCCAGCAGGTCCCACTGCTTGCGGGTCCCATCCTGTCCATACCGAGGGGGGTCCCATCTCAGGGAGGGGGGTCCCATCCCATGGGGTGTCCCATCCCGAGGTGGGGGTGCCCCATCCCATCCCATCCCATCCCATCCCATCCCATCCCAGTCCATCCCAGTCCATCCCAGTCCATCCCAGCCCCGGCTGGCAGGTGCCCACCGGCAGTGGATGAAGTTGGGCGTGGGGTTGCAGGGGTCCCGTGCCAGGTTGAGCCGGTCGGCGTTGTCACCGGCCGCCCGCAGCCACTCCCACGTGCGCTCGGC